CACACCTACCCCCATTACCCCAGTCACTGAATCAATCCATCTCATACTGGGTCTTCCTCTCTTGCTCGGTCCCTCCACCCTTCCAAGCATATCATGGCCTTCATGAAGGACTGGTCCCTCCTGGCCACATGCCCAAAGTATGTGAAACAGATCTTCAAAATCCTAGCCTGCAAAGAAAGACTTGGTTTCACCCTCTCCAAGACAGACCTGTTTATTTTCTTATCAGTCCATGGTATGTTCAATACTCTTCTCTAGCACCACAACTCAAAGGCTTCTTCTGTCAACCCTAGTCTTTTTCCAGCTCTCTCATGCATAGCAGGTAATTGTGAAGACCGTGGCCTGAATCACACTCATTAGCCTCTAGACTGACATCATTGCTCTCCAGTACTCTGGGTAGGTCCTAACAACAGATTTTCCCAGTGCAAAGCATCTTTTGATTATTTCTTGACTTCTGGTACCAACAATGTTAATTGTGGGGCTAAGCAAGCTGAAGCTATTAACAGTCTCAGTCTATTCTCTATCATTATGCTGCCAATCATTCCAGTAGTGAGAATCTTTGTTTTCTTGAAGTTGAGCTTCAGTCCGTATTGAAGGCTGTAGTTATTGACTTTCTGCACCAAATGCCTTAGGTCCTCCTCATTTTCAGCAAGCAAAGTTGTGTCTTCCACCAATCCTGATGCCTCATCATTCTTCATAAAGTCCGTCTGTACCAGTTCATCTAATTTGTAGAGTAAGTGATTAATATGGAAGGTCAGGAATGTGATTGGAGAATGAAAGAGTTATAAAAACACAGTGGAAGTGATGGTGGTTTTCTTGAGGGGAGAGGTAGACATAATACAAGTAGTGACTTAGCTCTTAGAAAGATGTGTTTAACTTCATCCATTTCTCTTAAAATCAGATAATTCCCAAGAGTTATCTGCTCCCTACCACGGATGGATTTTTCCTGATATATCCCCTATAACGTCCCCAGGCTTTGGTTTCTGATTAGCTATAACCCTTTTTCACAGTATGGTCAGAGTGGCATATTAGTTTTTAAATGTAAAACTTATGAAATCTTGATAAAGTCTCTTTTGATAGTAGTCAGGCTATTGTCTATATAAACACATTTTCAAGCATTTTAACACAGTCCCTGTTGAAATCCTGTTAAAAAGCCTGTGTGATCAGAGTGGCAATTTTTCCTCCTACTGAGAGTACCTTATCAAAGTTTCTGTCATATCCTTGTAAGGTAGTCACCTCTGGTTGATGGTGATTTTTGTTTTTAATCTAATTTATGTTTGTGTGTATGTATACATATTTATACACTCTTAAAGGAGATAAAGATTCTCACCACTGGGCCAATTGGCAGCACCATGATAGATGAAGAAGAGATTAAAGTTGTTAACAGTTTCCATTTGCTCAGATCCACAGTTAACACTCTTGGTACTAGTAGACAGGACATCAAAAGATTAATTGCTGCAGGGAAAGCTACTGTTAGGGATGTCTCCAAAGTGCTAAAGAGCAATGCTGTCAGCCTGGAAACTAAGGTGCCCCAATTCAGGCCCTGTTCTTCACGATTACTTACTATGCATCAGAGAGCTGGACAGTGACCAAAGATGCCTTTGAGTTGTGATGCTAGAGAAGAGTATTGAACGTACCATGGACTGCCAAGAGAACAAACAGATTTATCCTGTAGAGGGTGAAATCAGTCTGCTCCTTGGAGGCAAGGGTTTTGAAGCTCCATGTCACATATTTTGGGCAGGTGGCCAGGATGGACCAGTCCTGAAGAACATCATCATGCTTGAAAGGGTATAAAGACAGCACAGAGGAGGGAGATCTCATTTGAGGTAGAGCGACACAATAACTGGGGTAACAGGAGTAGGTGTTCGAGACAATAAGACTGGCTCAGGATAGAGCATAGTTTAGAACTATTGTAGGGTCACTATGAGACGTAGGCAACTCAAAGGCACACCAAAACAACAACATATTTACATATATGTGTGCTTGTCTCAAATCTCCATAGATCGCCAGACACAAAGAAGGTACAATTAAATAAAGTGAATATTACAATTACTTTACTCCTTCAGTAGGAAACTCGGGTGGTGTCGTCTGTAGGGACTTAAGGTTCTAAACCAAACACAGGTCTCTGGCAGTTGGAATCTTTCAGCAGCCCCATGGAAGAAAGATGAACAGTCTCCTCCCACGTGATTTACAGCCTCCGAAAACCCAGCGACAGGTCAGCTATCAATCAATTCCGACTTAACAGCAGTAAGGAAGAGAGACTGCTAATTTACAGACCAGTTTTTAATAGGTTAGCATGACCCCATCTTAAGTTGGCTGTTTTTAAAAATACTTGTGTAGCTGAATGAGGGGAATGATTTTAAAAAATGATTGTCATTTTGTAGTCTAGTTGATCGAGTATTTTTGCACATGTTTCCTTTGAATTGGCACCAACGCCTAGCTGACCTTCCAGTGGGTTTTCAGAGGTTGTACATCACACAGGAGAATGCTTATCTTTATTCCTTGTTGCAGTTGGTGAATTCAAGTACATTTACTTGTGAGTTAGCTGTGTCCACTAGGCCACCAGAGCCAAAGTAAAGAAAATACTAAGGATTTGTTTAAAATGCCCTAGTGGCTTCATATATGATAATGGTTAACCTAAAGATCCTGGTTTGAACCCACCAATGGCACCTTGAAAACCCCACAGGGCATTTCTACTCTGTCCTGTAAGTTTATAATGAGTCAGAAATTACTCCTTGGAAGTAGGATTAGGACAGGCCTAGTTTCACAGTTCTGGTCCTCAATAAGAGGAATCATCTGGCACCTGAGAGAAGAGGAGAAAAAGTTATTTATTTAAAGAATAATCAATGCCTTTGAGTTGTGGTGCTGGAGAAAAGCATTGAACGTACCATGGACTGGCAGGAGAACGAACAGGTCTGTATTGGAAAGGATGAAGCCACATGCTCCTTGGATGCAAGGGATTTGAAACTCTGTCTCACATACTTTGGGTATACTGCCAAGGGACCAGTCCTTGGAGAAGGATATCACACTTGGAAGGGTGGAGGAACAGCACAAGATAGGAAGACTCCAAATGAGATGGATTGACTCAGTGCCAGGGCAGTGGAGGTTGATGTGTTGGAAACAGTGAAACTGGCTCAGAATAGGGCAGGATTTTGTACATAGGGTTGCTATGAATCATGGGTGATGCAATGGTACATAACAATAACAATTAGACTTATAGCAGCTTTGGACAAAAGTGTCTTTTACCATAATCCAGCTTCATTCTGAAAGGGCACTAGCTTGTCCTTAGTAGAAATACTTAATGTGAGTTGACTAGACAAAGGCTGACAGAAGATTTGGAGGGCCAGCAAAGGCCTTCTTGGGATTGGAAGAGAATGGGACGTGTGGACTAAGAAGGCCAGGGACATAGCTATACTACAATGAGGTGGAAGTCTGGGTAGGGCAGTCAGGACAGGTTAGTGCAAAAGAGGGAAATTTCCATATGAAAACATGCAGAGTAAGCAAACATTTAATAGGAAGTATGAACCATATATATACTCAGGTTTCAAGTTTATTCATGCAAATTGGTGAAACAGCTGGGGAGTGGTGGTCAAGCTGACGGAGATTTGAAATCACTAGACTGCAAAGACCAGAAAACCATTTCAGCAGTAAACTGAAGCTTCTTGACCCCTTCAGGCCTCAGAATACATAACTTTATGTTAGCTCTCACTAACTACTTTTTCCCCATAATAAGATCTGAGCTGCTTCAGTACCCACGATTTTCACTGGGTGTTAAACAATAGCTCTCTAGTAAAAAGATCTTAGGAGAGTTGCAAGATAAGTGTGTAAGTGTATACGGTTCACGTTCCTTTTTAAAGTTAGTTAACCAGAGATACATTACAGAATTCTAGACAGTGTAACAAAGTAGAGTGAACTTCTTCCTTCTTAACCTCTCCCCACTTCACTTATCATTTTCACTATGACCCTTTCTCAGGCCTGACTGAATGTTCATTGAAATGGAGTGGAGTATCCTTTTGTGTAAAATAAACACTGAGTTCTAAAATCTTATAGAAGCAGTGATTTCAATAGCAACAGTTTTTCCTGTAAAAGTTAAATCTTGTTCTTTTCCCAAATATATTGTAGCACAATCAATACATGAGTATACACCAGAAAAATCATGAATACATTTTGTATTGGACTAAGTACTTTAGATTATACCTATCCTCCTTAGTTATATACCAACTATCCAATAACAATCAATTGATACAGTTAAGTATTCCATAAGTTTATACCTGTCTTTCTTAGTTACATACCAGCTATCTAATGTCAGTTGGTAAAGTTAAGTATTCCATAAGTTTATGTTTCAGAATTTGAGTGTCCTTTGTTTAAAACTCAAAATTTGTTATGCAAATTTCCCAGGAGATGGATTTATTTTACACTTAGTGTATATTAAGCTTCGTGTAAGCATTCTTTATCCATTCCAGTAGGCTGTCCATTGTGAAACTCAGTGACAGAGTGTAACCAGAAAGTATATGCAATAAGAATTTAGTGGCAAAACCATACCTTAGTGTCCTCTGATAACCTTGAAATGTTTTCAGATGATATGTTAGCCTGTTATTTAATTCTACGTACCAATAATTGCATTTATTGAGGCCAGTATGTCTAGTTAGAGAAAATGCTAATCTAAATAAATATGAAATGGAGGGAAATGTTCTTTAATAAATAATTAAAAGACCCTTTCTCAGTTTTCAAAATTCAGTACTTGTACTGTAGCTTTTTATGTCCAGAGTCTTTTTCTCAGTGATACCTAAATTATGGCATCTAAAAAAAATCATCTCTTCAATGAATCTCACGAAGTGTGCTACATAATAGCTTATTGTAAGTAGTTTAAATAGACTCTCTCAAGTGGCTTAGTATATTAAAGAAGAGTTTAATATATTCAGCTTTACTGCTGAAACACCCAATGAGTTCTGACACTCTGATGAGATGACTCAAGTTGGGATTTCTTTTTCCTTTTTTGACAGCATCAACAAAGAGAGTATCGTGGATATAGAAGGTGTTGTGAGAAAAGTAAATCAGAAAATTGGAAGCTGTACACAGCAAGATATTGAGTTACATGTTCAAAAGGTAATTTTTTAAAAAATATATATCTTATCTATGTACAGAAATAGATTTGAATGGTTTTAAAAACTTTTCATGTCACATCTTTGTGTTCTGAATCACTGGAGTTAATATAATGCACTGAGATGTATACATTAATTACTGAATCAATGATTTGTCTTATATAACAGACCACCTCAATATGTGTAGCTTAATACACCATTTATTTGTTCATGATTCTGAGTTGGGCCATTGAGGCTAGGTTCATCTTGAGTGGTGCATCTCTGCTCTGTGTGACATTCGTACTCCACATGACATCCAGGGACCTTTCTCCCTGTGGTCTGTCACCCTGCAGGCTAGTAGCCGAGGCTTTTCATATGGTTCTAGTAGAGTTCCCATCAACACAAAAAGAAAGCCCTAATAAAAAGACATTTTCTCGAGCTTACTAAAAACGTCATTGGCCAAACAAATCACATAGCAGAAATCAGCTTTAGCGGGGAGGAAAATAGATTTAATCTCTTAATGAAAGGAGAGACAGCATCATTGTAATGGGATGTGCAGACAGATACTGGGGGAATTATTACAGCCATTTGGCAAGCAATCTTATAAAGTATAAAACATAACTAAGGCATTTTATTCAAGATGTAGTTTCATCTCTTCTCTAAGGCATAAAAGCCAAGAGTGCTCATTATCATTGACTTTTAAAATAGCCTATCTACATTCATACATATTTAGTATTGTTGAAATAGCCCTGTAGATTTGAACCTCCAGTTCTGAAAGAGAGGCCTAGTTGATAGTGTTCATCGTTACATTTCTCTTAGGGCGTAGTCTGAAACAGGATGGACCTATTCACCCATAATGAGAGACAAAATGTGTTTGTGTGTGTTTACACACGTATATCAGAGAGATGTAAGGAAGATTCTGCTGAAGATTATCCAAAAACGACTGGAACAGCACATCAACAGAGAAATTCCAGAAGTGCAGCCTGGGTTTAGAAGGGGCCGTTGTACTAGGGATATTGTAGCTGATGTTAGTTAGATGGATCTTGGCTGAAAGCAGGGAGTACTAGAGGAATGTCTGTCTATGTTTCATTGATTATGCAAAAGCATTTGACTGTGTGGATCACAACAAACTGTGGCTGACTCGGAGAAGAATGGCAATCCCAGAACACTTGATCGTGCTCATGCAAAACCTATACTTGGACCAGGAAACAGTCGTCAGAACAGAGTAAGGAAACAGTGCATGGTTCAAAATTGGGAAGGGTGTACGCCAAGGTTGTGTCCTATCTCCATATTTTTTCAGCCTGTATGCAGAATAGATTATACAGGAGACTGGGCTGTATGAGGAGAAGTGTGGCATCAGGATTGGAGGTAATCTGTGTTACGCAGATTACACAACCCTGCTTGATGAAACAGGAGGACCTGAAGCAGTTGGTGCAGAAGTTCAGGAACAGCAGCCTTCAATATGGATTGAAGCTCAATATCAAGAAAACAAAGATTCTCACTACTGAGCCAATTGGCAGCATCAGGATGGACGGTGAAAAGATCGAGATTGTTAACAGTTTTAGTTAACTTGGTTCCACAGTCAACACTTTTGGCCCTAGCAACCAGGAAATTAAAAGACATATTGAAATTGGAAAGTCTGCTATTAGAGACCTTTCCAAAGTAATGAAGAACAATGATGTCACCCCAGAGACTAAGGTATACCTGATACAGGCCATGCAGTCAAGACTTGCAGTCACTTCAGATGCATCAGAGAGCTGGACAATGACTAGGGAGGATGGAAGGAGAATTGATGCCTTTGAGCCGTGGTGTTGGAGAAGAGTATTGAATATACCATGGACTGCTAAGAAAATGAACAGGTTCGTCCTAGAGAGGGTAAAACCAGGCTGCTCGTTGAAGGCAAGGATTCTGAAGCTTCATCTGACATACTTCGGACATGTTACAAGGAGGGACCAATCCTTGGAGAAGGACATCATGCTTGGGAGGGTGGAGGGACTACACAGAAGAGGAAGACACTCTTTGAGGTGGATTGATTCAGTGACAGGGGTAATCAGGGTGGGTGTGTCGGAGAGAGTGAGATTGTCACAGGATAGAGCAGGATTTAAGGCTTTTGTACACAGGTTTGTTGTGAGTCTCAGGCGACTCGATGGCACATAACAAACAACAACATGTCAGAGAGGACAGGTAGACAGACTGGCTGTTGGACAGATTGAGAGACATAAACTTACTCATGAATACTGTTTAACTGGAATAGATTGTCGTAAAATACCATTTTCTAGTTGTCTAACTTACCACATTCTTTGTTGTCTTTGTGTAAGTCTCATTTTACTCCCTAATATAAACAGACTAATTAAAGGGTAAGACTAGAATTTAAAAATAAAATCAATTTATGCTGATTTCTGAGTTGGGTATCTTTTTCAGTACTTGAAATAATCCTACTGAACAACAGCAAGTAAATGCAAAATATTCTTCTTATTTAACATTCCGTATAACCTTAATAAATGTCAACAGAAATAAAAGGGAATATTATTTGGAAAATTTGTACTCAAAAAATTTTAAAATTTAAAATTAATTGGTAGAATATTTGAATAAACTCACAACAAAAGAAGGTATTGAGCAAGTTACTTTAAAATAAAATAAAACTCCCAGTAAAAATAAAAGACTGAGCCCAGACAGTTTCACTGGTAAATGCTACCCAGGCTTCAGGGAAGAACTGCCAGCTCTGCCCACACTGGCCCAGAACACAGAAAGGGATGGAATGTGCTCAAACTTGTCCTGTGAAGCTAGGTACCAACACCGAACAAGATTGTTCCCCAAAAGAATATTGTAAATCATTACCACTCATGTGCATAGACACAAAGACGCAAAATCCTAGCTAATCAGATTCAACGTATATCAAAGATTTGATATCAACTAGGATCCATACTAGATAAACTGAGAGGGCTTAACATAAGAACAATATCATCTGCCGTGTAAATAAAACAAAGGAGAAGTGGCACATTATGTCAATTGATGCAGGAAAAGCATTGGACAAAATTCAGTTAACGTTCCTGATAAAAAACCAGCAAAAAAGGAATTGAAGGGAAATTCATCAGCATAATTAGGGGTATAAAACCTTAGCTGTAGTGAGCAAAGAGTTGCACAGTCAACCCAAGCAGTAAGAATCCACCCTGGGAGAAAGATGGGCAGCCTCCCCTTGTGTAATTTACAGCCCCTGAAAACCCTTTTGGAGGGTCAATTGGGGTATTACCTCCTTCTTTGCCAATACTGCAAAGGCATCGATTTTCTTTGGTCTGCCTTATTCATTGTCTAACTTTCAGATGCCCAGCAAGCAATTGAAAATGCATAGCTTGGATCCAGGTGCATCTTAAACTGATATCCTTGTTCCTTAGCACTTTAAAGAGGCCCTTGATGCTAGATTTTCGCAGTACAATACATCTTTTGATTTCTTGACTACTGCTTCTATGGGTTTTGAATTAACTTGGCTGTAGGAAAAGGCACTATCTAATAAGGGGAGGCCCGGACAGAATGATCAGACAAAGACACCAGAAGGAGCATATGTGTTAAAAACAACAGAGGTAAATACTGTTACACAATCCTGCAGTAGTAGTGTAGTAGTAACAGTATCTAGAAGTGAATTCAAACATGTAAACTAAGCAAGTATGGGAAGACCAAATGCTATTAGCAATAATACTAATGCATGTGTTCATAGCCCCTTCACATTGGCACAGTGTTTTCACATTCATTACTCCCTTTGGTTGTTAATGGCAGTCCTCATTCTCCCGAGTGTACCTATGGTGCTCAGAAGTTAAGTGATTAGTCTTGAGATACCTTTTATATGACAGAGCAGAGCCTTTGCACAGGCCTTTCACCCAGTGCCTTTTCTAATTTATTATGTTTGTATGTACCTAAGAGCTTACAGACTGTCTATATATCTGTTTTCTCATTTCACTCTTCTGCAACCCATAGAAGTAGCTGTGTGGATTTTTTAGAGATGAGAAATGGGTGACATCTTTTTTTTTTTTTTTTAATTTAAGGTAATTTCCATTACACATATAAACAGTACTTAACATTTAAGTCACCTGTAGGCTGTTTTTTAACACACTATACCAGGTTTTATGAGTTTCATACTATTTTTGATACTGTCTCACTTTCAGATTTATGTGATCAGTTTGGCTGAACCTCGTCTGCCCCTGCAGCTTGATGATGCCATTAGGCCAGAAGTGGAAGGAGAAGAGGTGAAAATTATACCTTTGAAAAATTATTAGTTGGCAACATACTGAAAATCTGATACCCTGCTTTGGTACCCTGTGAATTGGTTTGAGCTTTGTTTTTGTTTATATTCACTGCCTACCTCAGTGGCTCTCAGGTTTGGCCTCAGGCCCACTTGTAAATGAATCCTACAAGCCTTTGCCTATGTGGTCATGTTTGTTGATACTCACCGTATTAAAATTGAGAAATTTGAACTCATTTATTTTTAAATGTCAATTTAAAAAACAATATAAATACATATCCTTAAAAAAGCATTTTGTGTCAAGAGTAGCATTGTTTTATATTTCACTTTTCTCATTCTCTTTATCTACCTCTGTTTATTTTTCTGTGAACAGAAAGGGATTTTTAAATTGTAAACTTATATTAATGTTCTAAAAGAACTGTTAAACTAAATAGTGCTCTACAACAGAAAGGTTATTATTAAATAGAAAAGACTTTATGGACTCCCTGAAAAGGGTCTTAGGGACCTTTAGGGGTCCCCAGACCATGCTTTGGGAACCACTGCTCTTTATCAGTTTTTACTTGTTCCTTTAACTTGTCTTTGTTGGGTGCTGTGGAGCTAATTCCAGCTCTTAGCCACCCTACAGGGATGCAGCAGAACTGCCCTGTGCTTTTCTGAGGCTGTAGAGACTCTGGAGCAAATTGCCACATCTTTCCTCTTGAAAGTATCTGGTTGGTTCAAACTGCTTGGCCATGGTGCCACCAGAGTTTTATCAACCTGGCCCTAGCAGGGAGAATCTAAGAATCAGTAAAGATGCAAATTATTATCTCGCTAATGACTCCATAATGAGAAAAGGCTGGTAGAGAAGTGGAACCCAAAGTATTAATATCTGTTTACTTTCATTTCTTTCTCTCTCTTTCCTTCACTCAATAATAGTTTCTTTGTGAATCTACTTCTTAATTGTTTCTACCATTGTCTTGGATTCCCTGATCTAGAGGCAAGAATACGGAATAAATATTAAAATAATTCTAATTAAATTTGAGGGCTCGTCATACACTCCCCTCCATTAACATTAAAAAGTAAACATAGCTTCTAAACATGTTTTTTGTAATATTTTTTAAAATTAGTAAAATCTGATTTTTGCTCTTTTCTTTTTGTGTGTATGTTTATTTGTTTTGTATTGTTTTTTAAGGAAGGGAGAGCTACTGTTAACCAAGATACAAGACTAGACAACAGAGTTATTGATCTGAGGGTATGTCTCATTTCTTTATTAAATGTGGCTGTATTGAAATTAAAATGGGCATGCGTTCTCTACCTGTCTAAAGCTTATAAAACGAGTTAGTATTTATTTATATGTGCATGTGGTTATATAATAAAAATGTAGCTGTTTCCTGAAAAATAACTATAGGTAACAGGCAGCCAAGTAATAGTTCACAGGATGTTGGCTTTGTTCATTTTAAAATGAAAAGTAATATGAAACCAGTAAATGGTTTTGATTCTAGGTGTATCAAACCTGTTTGGGATGAATTATTCAGCAATTGGGAATTAACCCTTAACAACATTGTAATATTGTGAAAGAATATATATTCACACTTTAGAACAACCAGGTGGTGATGGAGGAATCAGTGCTTCAACTGTTTTCTATTTGAGCTTAAACCAGAATTAATAATGGAGAAGTAGTTAACCTTCATCATTTGTTCAGTACTTTCCTGGGTCTTCTGGTTCCCTTCTGGTTTGGTTACAAGTGAAAGACTTCAGTGGTTTCATCACTGAAGTAAAACCAGTGTCATCTTTCTTTCTTAATATTTTTACCACATCTTCCTCCTTTATTTAAATGTTCTACTTAATGCTCAGGTTCTTCGTCACCTTAAGAGTATAGTCCCTTGAGTCTGGCTTTATTATATATACTCATTGATCTTACTCAAAATTTGAAACATTGTCATCTTACATTAATTATCAAATTTATTGACACATGGAGAAGTTGACAGTAGCAATCAATATGTAATAAGAAGCAGTCTGCAAAATAATACTGAAAAGTATATATATATATATACACACACACACACATACATATATACTCGGTAGAGATCTCTGTAGAGATAGTCTGCCTATCATTCCTAGATTTTTCCTATCATTGCCTAGAAGAACATTTTCCTTTGCTTTTTCTTAGATTTTTAAATATTAGGTTGGCTTCATGTAAAATAAATGCTTATAGAATGAGAACTAATATTGAAAAATGATACAGCTATGTTGTTGTTATGTGCCATTGAGTCAGAACCAACTCCTATCTAACCTTCTAATCTATTTTCAGAAACTGTAAATTACAAGGGAAGAGACTGCCCATCTTTCTCCTGCAAAGCAACTGATGGCTTCGAAACTCCTACCTTTGAGCTGCCAGCACAGCTCGCTATGACTAGACCACCAGAGCACTTTGATCCCGCTATGATGTTGTTGTTGGTTTTTTTGTTGTTGTGTGGCATCAAGTCAGATCTGACCCATAACTGACCTTTCAGTAGGTTTCCATAGTAATTAAATCACACAGGAAGTGACTGCCTATCCTTCTACAGCAGAGCAGCTGGTGGATCTGAACTGTGTGCCTTTAGGATTACACACAACTTCTAACCACTAGGCTACCAATCTTCCCTTGATCCAGCTATAGGTACAAAAAATTTCTCAGATTCTCATGCAGTCAGCTCAACACTATTCCTCTAATAAAGTAACTGACCAACTTAGATTTGAAAAGAGTGTTTTCCCCTGAGCAAAGTTAAAGCTTACTCTAAAATGTTTTGATGTCAAGTAGATGCCTTTGGGTTTCCAAGGTTGTCATTCTAATGGGAGAAGGCTGCCTCTTCCTCTTCCTCAGAACCACTGGTGGAGTCCAACCATGAAAGATCAGGGATGTCCCAACTTTCTCATGCTCTTTATTCTTTATCTTCTAACCAGTAGGAATGGCTGTGATTGAGTTAACTAGCATAGTATGGTTCTCCTTGCGGTAATAGTTATTTTTTATTATACAGATAGTAATCAAAAGATCTGAAATACTATCCTTTTCTTGCTATTCCCTTCTTAAGAGAGTACCTTCTGTTTAGTCATTTCTTATTGTTATTGTTTATCTCTCTTCTTTATATCCTTTACTCATTGCTAATTCTCAAATTAAACCATTCTAAAAATAATCTGCTAGAGAATATACTCAAGCATGTAAACACTAAGTGGAAGTTAGGACATTCCAGACTTATCATCAAGCTAACGAGAAGTTATGTCTAATTTAATCAAGTCAGTACTTGTCCTGCTGGCAGTGAGCGTGCCTTTAGGAATCTTTAAAACAGAAAAAGTGGTCTCTTTTCTTATATGTCACATTGGTCCACTTTTATCCACAAATATATATAATTAACATGCTTGTTGTTTGGATCTGAAAGTAAAAAATGTGGGTATAACACAGTTTGTAAAAAATGCATGATTTGTTAACTTCCTATTAATACCTATGTAAGCCATTTCACAAGTTTACCTTTCATTAACTTAAGAGTTGAAGTGAGTTAGGGCTAGCTAAAAGAGACACATGACAGTAAAATGTATTTAATGACACTCTTACAGAATATTTTTTTCTTATTGAATTGAAATGTGTCTCCTTCTGTGGCTCAGTAATGGTGAAACTGCCCTAACTTTTAAATAGGTTACCAAATTTTTGAAAACAGGAGAATATACAATTTGTTTTGATTGGTTAACTGAGTATTTCACTAAACCACAGACTATAAAAAAGCTACAGATGCTCCTGTCTAGCTTGACATGCAGATAACTGGGAAAGGATAGATAGGCTGACAAATTATAAATATCTTTTACATAGACTTAATTGTTTTGTGAAAAAAGCTATTGATTAAACCTTTGCGTTTAAATTGTCATGTTACGTATATATGCCTTCATATTTATGAATTTTTAGGCTGATCTGTAAAAACTCAATATTTAAATTTTTATTACAGTAAAAGAAATTTAGCATTAACTCTCCAGTCATTAACAGTATTTTCAGAAGGTGCTGCTGTTTCAGTAATCTATGTATGCTCAGCCAAAATCAAACTTTTTGACATGGGATAAGTAAGTAATGTTTTATAATTAGATTATATAGATGACCTAGGAGACTTGGGATTCTTCACCTAGTTCATCAGGCCCAACTAACTTGCTTTGGAGGCATGGTCTTTTATTACAAACCCATCTAGTTACAGGTTAACAATTTTTTTCCCTCCTTTTATAATAAGCAGTAACCTAAAGATATGTTGTCGGTGCCATCGAGTCATTTATGGCTCATAGTGCCCTATGAACAAAAGATCTGAATCTAGCCCTGTCCTGCACCATCCTTACACTTCCTGACATGTACCTAGGTCTTTTGACCAGAGAAATGGACAGAAGTTAGTCTGATAGAGAAATAATTACCTCTGGAGCTTTCTATCATCAGGATGAATCAAAGAAACAGCCAGAAGAGGAGAGAGAGAGTGAAAAGGAGAGGTGACTCCAGTAGGTTAGAGTACAGACAGGAATTGCTTCTGTGCCGTTCTGGGGAGTTAGTGTCATAGGATACCTACTTGTTACTAAGTTGTGTTTGTCTTGGATTTTTTTTTTTTGAGGTGGGTTTTTTTTTCCCTTCTAAATTGAAATGCATCAAACACATGACCATTAGATCTGATGAGAATGAAAGCAGAGTAGCTTTATTCATTCATTATCAAGTGTAAAGATACTGCACTCCTTAGGATAGCTTTATTGTACTCCACATAGTTATGTAAAATATATCACTTCATGGGTTTGCATTTTAAAAAAAAGACAAAGATAATTTAAAAATAAGATGCTTCTTAATTGTAACTAACATTATAGAACAAAATATGTATGACTAATTAAATGAAAACCCAGTATAATTTGTAAACTTATATTCACATTTAAAAATCCAAAAAAAGATGTTTCATTGTTATTTATTAAGCATTTCTAGTATATTAAATTTTATGATCATACGTATGATCATTACATATCATACTTAATCACTCTTTGTCAACATGTCTTACCACCTTCTGCCATGTTTGATACTTTTGTGTTTTCTTCTTCCCCACTATTAGACTTAAAAATTTCTTGAGAACAAGAATGGTTTTCTTTTACTTTAGTATCCAGCAATACTTCAGACACATAGTGAGTGCTCAGGAAATGATATCGAGTTGACTTAATTAGCTGTTGTTCCTGTCTCCTAGACATCAACCAGTCAGGCCGTCTTCCGTCTCCAGTCTGGCATCTGCCATCTCTTTCGAGAAACGTTAATTAACAAAGGTTTTGTGGAAATCCAGACTCCTAAAATTATTTCAGGTATGTGTCCCATACTTCTAACCTTGCTCTATACAGAATAACTAAGTTAATTTTCTTTTTTTTATTTTTATTTGAGAATCCCAGGTGTCCTTTAAGTCTTATTGCTGTGAGACGGCTTCTTTTGACAACCATTATCCAGCAGCAGTCACATACCACAAACAGCAGTTTTGCATCTTGTTACCATAAGAGTCATTGTGTGGTAGTGATTATAGCATAACAACACACAAAGCCGTGTTCTTATTACATAAGTTGGAGTTGCAGCAGGAACTATTTTCATTGTGTATTGTTTCTTTAGAAAAAGTGTTGCAGTTTCATTTTGCACAAACTGCATTGTAAAGTCACTGACTACTTCAAATGAGAAAATCTCATTAATTTTCATTCTTATGTGAAACCTTATTTTAATCATTGCACTGTGTTAAGTAACACTGAGTTAAAGTAACAAAAAATGTTAAAAATGGCATTTGGTTGTAAATGAAAAGAAATTAAGCATTGCATTCTTGATGAGAAGAATAATAGAGTGCATTTTTACTTTTAAGCTTTTTAAAATTTTTGCACTTCTAAAGTTTATTTAATATATTTGCAATTTATGCAGAAAGGACAGGAATAGCTTTTAAATGAATATATTAAAAGAAGTAAGTGTGATACAACTGTAAACTCCTTAGAATCAGGTATAGGAAGAGAAAATCTGATTCACTATTATTTATTTAGCTATTAATTTTCTAATTTATCTTTTATTACATAAACGACTTGTTTTTATTAGGTTTGCACTGGTAAGCCTGCAATGTATTATAACAATACAAATATTTTTATTATAGCTGCCAGTGAAGGAGGAGCCAATGTATTCACTGTGTCCTATTTTAAAAGTAATGCATACCTGGCTCAGTCCCCACAGCTGTATAAGCAGATGTGTATTTGTGCTGACTTTGAGAAGGTATTCTGTATTGGACCAGGTAAGGTTTTGGCAGATACCGTTTTCTTGAAGTTAATGCATTTTTCTATAGTCATGGTTTTAGGAACATGTGTTGCATACATCTAATGTTCAGACATTTTGAGGGTTGGGGTTTTGATTGTTGTTGGTTCGTTGGTTGGGGTTTTTTCACTCAGGAATACAAGCATCATAGTCCTATAAAAGACCCCTGAAAACTTTTCATTATCTTGGAGATAACTTTTTTTTTTATTATTTGTGTGTATGTCAAATTGGATCTGACTGGTACAGGAGGAGATTGCCCCTCCTTCTCCAGCAGAGCATCTGGTAGATTCGAATCGCTTACCTCTGGGATTGCAGTGCAGCATCTTGCCAGTAGGCCACCAGAACTCCCGGAGACACATGCTCTGAACTGACATCCAAGTAAATATATGTGCACCCAATGTTTCTTGTGGCTATGTTCACAATAGCAAGGCGTTGGAAACAACCTTAGTGCCCATCAACAAATGAATGGATAGAGAAGCTGTGGTATATTCACACAATGGAATACTACACTGCATTGAAAAATAAGGAACTCATACAATATTATTCAAAATGGGTACCCTTGAGGACATTATGCTGAGTGAAGTATCTCAGTCACAAAAGGACAAATACTGTATGGTGCCACTGTTATAAAACAGGACTGACCTCTGGGTTGGGGGGAGACTGAGAAAGATGGGTTCAATAATGTATACTGCATTGAAACAGATAAGGGAGAAAACTGTTTAAAAGGGATATGTGATTAGGTATTTTTGTCATGACAGGAAAGGCTGCATAGTGGAGTGGACCTTGGGAAGGGTTTGTGAAACAATGAAAGAATTTTACTTTTCCAAGAGGGTAGTGTACTAGGGGGGAGGGTTGGGAGGGGAGAAAAACGCAACAATGAATGAATGGAAACCCAAAGTCTCTGTAAATTTTTAATTGAAATTAATAATAAATTTTTTTTAAAAAGTGAACTGGGAAGGATGCAGGGAGGGAGGAGGATAAAAGGGGGGAAAAAGATACATGCTCTGAAACTATCCTGTAAAGAATGTTATCATATGCATAATTAAAACTCCTTTGAACTGCCTTTTCAATTCCTCTTCAGTATAAAACTTGGTAAATATCTTCCAAATAAAGCATTTTATTATCATTTTTGTCACCCTTACCTGGTGTAAATTTATATTTCTTCTATATTATCTCTCAGTTCCTTTATTTCACTGTTATTGCTTGTAGTGTCTTTGTTATATGCTAAAGTCCTTTAGAGATTACCAATAAATAGTTTATCTTTAAAAGATTTTATTAAAATGATTTTTCAGGTTTATATCTTTAAAGCCAAGGACGGTCATATAATCATGTGGCACGTTCTTTTGTTAGGTCAATTTTAAGCAAAGCATCAGCTCTGCTTCACTCTTTAAAATATGCCAGCTCTTCCATTAAAAAATTTTGATAGCTTAATAGAAAATAAATGCTAACAGGAACTGGCAAGATAATTCAGTGTTTTGATTATCTGAAAGTATTAGGCAGTTATTTATTGAACACCTGCTGCATATAGAACCTTGTTCTTGGTACCAGGATCAAACAGCACTCTCGAACATGCCTGTCCACTTAAATCACCTAGGATCTAGTTAAGTGCACATTCCATCAGTAGGTCTGGGGTGAGACCTAAGATTCTACATTTTTCGTCGTGCTCCCAGCTAAGGCAAATTCTACTGGTTTGCAGAACACAGTTTGAAAGGCAAGGGAATAAACATTGTCCTATGTCCTAGACAGAATAAGACATGCATAATCAAATTATTTTCACAGTGCATAATCAAAATGTGCTATACAATCAGCAGATTGGTGTTAATTACCAAATCAAAAAGAGGGAAAAGGTGAAGTTTGCTAGAGTCACCATAAGAGAAAATTCAAACTGAAATGGACTTGAAGCATTAGAATGGGCTTTAAGAGTAAAATATGTAGACCATGGGTGGTAGCATCACATTTAGAAGAATCAGGGTAAGTATAAATCATGGACTAAGGAATAAAACAACAAAGCTAGTTAGCATTAAGAAAAAATGGTAAGTAGGTGTTAGAATTAAATTAGAAAAGCATAAGAGCTTTAGTTATTACAGTAGTCAATTTTGAATCATCATGAGCTACTGAGCAAGAGCTGTACTTCCTGTAGGACTATCACTCTGGCAGTGATGGGAAAGACAGCAGAATTGGAGTCAGAAATAAGTACAAAGGAGTGAGAATAAGAGATTGAGCTAGGGGCTCAGATGCCCATAATGTTAATTCATACAAAGTTCTATTTTTGCAAAAAATTAATAGAACTCAGTATATTGTATATTAATAAAAATTGAGTACTTTTAATTACTGTGAAGGCCCCTTAAGATCTTGCCCAGGGGTCCCTGTCAGCCTCCTTTATTAATTTACATTTGGTTCAGCTTTTGCTGTGAGACTATAGGTGTTTGTAATGAACTTGCCTTCTAAGTGGAAGCTAAACAAATGCCTTACCGAAGATCCTCCCAGTCCCTGTAAGGATAGGGAAATAGTATCTTTTGAGTACTGTTAAATAGAATTTTATGTATAAATCCCAGTTTCTCTAAAATTTAGAATCCTGTTTGCTGTCTATTTCATTCATTTAACTTTACAGTATTCAGAGCTGAAGACTCCAATACCCACAGACATCTGACTGAATTTGTTGGTTTGGATATTGAAATGGCTTTTAATTACCATTATCATGAGGTTGTAGAAGAAATTGCTGACACCTTAGTCCAGATATTCAAAGGACTTCAAGAAAGGTAAAAAAAATATTTTATATCCTAGATGTATTTACTTTCATATTGGTTTAAATTCTTTAATGAAAACAGTTACTGATTTGAAGCGTGCTGTCTTGAAGTTTGACACAGTCCCTGTGACAACAGGTTTGAACACATCAGATAAGATGATGACGGCACAGGATAGTACAGGGTTCCGATTTGTTGTTCATAGAGTCGCTTTGAGTCATAGCTTTTTCTGTGGCACATAACAACTTGAAGTAGATATATAACCAGTTTAATTAATAGAATATTAATTAACTATTCTGTACTCCAAATAGTACTACCGGATTTAAAACGTCAATTGGAACCTCAACTTGTTAACCTCTTTTTGCTGTGAAGTTTACCAGATTACTGTGTTTGAATTTTGGTTGTTTAGGATGACATCCTAAGTGTCTTTAGAAATAGATGTGTTGATTTTTTTAGCAGATTATTATTTGAGAGCCATTATGGAGTTGTTGTTGCTAGGTGCCAACAAATTGACTACAGTTGACTAAAAGCCAACAGATTAAGTCAAATGTCTGTGGGTATTGGAGTTTCCAGCTCTGAAAACTATAAGGTGACCCAGTGAACCTATGCACTCTGATATGAGATGGTGAGGAAGGCATAGTGCTTAAGAATGGAGGAGTTGTTATTATGTGCCGTCAAGTCAGAATTGAACCATAGCTGACCCTCCAGCAGGTTTTCAGAGGCAGTTAATCACACAGGAGGAGATTGCCCATCCTTCTGTGGATCATCTAGTGGATTCAAACTGCGTGCCTTCGGAATTGAAGCGCACCTTCTTACCACTAGGCCCCCAGAGCTCTAAGAATGGAAGAGTAGTAGTGCTTAAGAATTTGAATTCAGCTACATTGAAAGAACCTGAGTGTGGATCTGAACTCGACATATCTTTGTACCTTGGGCAAGTTAATGCTGAGCTTCAGTTTCCTCACTGTTAAATGGAGAGAATTTTATTACCTACTTTAGTGATAGTTGTAAGAATTAAATCTCAAGTATAAACTACCGCAGTTTGCTTGGCATATGATAAACAGCCATTGTACAGATAAACTAATCTAAGACTTAACCATTACTGGCATAAGTTTAATTTATATACATCAATGATTGAAATCTAGTAAAGGAACATTTCACTTGTTAGGATCTGGTGTGTTGACAAAGAACATTTACAGAAAATAGACATGTTCTGGGTGTTGAGAGAATTAAATGATATGAAATGTCCACGGTAAATGTTGGCATTTCTTTGTGCTGTCAAGTTGATTCTGACTCATAGGAACATTCTTATCAGAGTAGATCTGTCCCCATAGGCTTTCCAAGGCCATGATCTTTACAGATGGAGACTGCCACATATTCCTCAGAACAGCTGGTGGGTTCCAACCACCTGCTTCTTGGTGACTATAGTGAGTGCTTAACCATTGCACCATCACTGTTGTGTGCCATCGAATCAGCTCCAACTGATATAGGAAGAGATTGCTTCTCCTTTTCCAACAGCGCATCTGGTGGATTTGAACCATGTATCTTTGGGATTGCAGTGCAACTTCTCGCCACTAGACCACCAGAGCTCCCAAAGCTTTCCTTTTAAACACCACTTAAAGTCATTCATTTATAATTATGTTAATGGGGGGGGAGAAAAGAAAGGGAAAATCAGAGTAAGTAGAATTAACAATCTCCTTTGTCTTTTTTCCCCCCATTAACTGTGCCTATATTTTAAATACAGACAGGCTGTAATATGTACTGAAACATACTACGAGTGTGACGATAGTACAGGACCAGGCAACATGTTGTTTATACATAAGATCACTATGACAGCTGACACAACAGAAACTAAAATAATAGGTTATAATAAACTTAACTGACTCTTTGATAACTGATGAAGATTAATATTTAAAATTTATATCTAAAGGCCAACCATTAATTGTTGATTTATTTAGACATGCTGTGTTGATATGTAAAAAGAAACCTTATGAATAGGTACTCCATTGCGAGGCCAATAATTAATTTTAAGAACTCAGAAATTAATCATTGAATGTATATAAAAATACTGTAGGATAAGCACACATATTTTCCAGACATCCTCTACATTGCACTGTACTTTTATAATTACGGAAAATTTCATTTAAAAAACTAACCACCTATCTGAAAGGGGATTGTGAAACATGAAGTACCTAGTTCCATGCTTTCACAGAAGTTGTAGTTGGTGGGATGATTGTAAGGGAGGAAATAAAAAACCTACAATCTAAATGAACAAAATATAATGTAAATGTATGAAACAGTGTACATGCATAAAACACAATGTGTATTAATAATAAAAATACTAACAATTTTTAAAAGAAGAAAAAATTATACCTGTGAAAAATTTTTATGCAGTCTATTTTAAGCAATTTTTAATAAAATAGTTTTGTTTTTTTGTTTTTGTTTGTTTGTATTTTTAGCCAAATTAACAAAGTTTACTTTTAGTTCGAACCCGGGCTCCCTCGTAGCTGACGCAGCAGCTTCCACCCGAGAACCTAGTAAAATAGTTTATGGAACAACTAATACTATTTCCTTTTCAACAATGAAAGAACAGAACTTTTCTCATTTTCTTTTCATAAAATTCAGAGAAATGTCTGAAGCCCGCTCTTATTGGTAGAGCTTCAGTTTAATTTTTGAGTGTTAAATTGCAATTAGAATTGGAAAGTTCCTAGGTCATTTGTCAGTTATGTTACATATATTGTATTAGGACTCATCTTACTATTCCTCACATGTGAAAATAATACATAAATTTAGTAATAAATTATTGGTAGATCTCTTATTGTTAGGATTGCCCTTATTGGAGTTAATATCTAAAGGAGAGCAATTTAAGAATCAATCACTGGGATATTAGTCTTTCTAATACTAAGATTTAAATAAATCAGTGGGTAGGACTCTCCCAAGAAAGTCTTTAAGTCTATTCATGAAGTAATAGTATTTTAATTTCTGCTGTTTTCACAGTTCTGAGTATATTATTCTTTCTAAATACAGAAGGAGGGAAGACTAATGAACCTCTGTGCACTCAGGCTAGGCTTTTACCATTTCAGTTGTTACCAGTCCATGGCCAATTTTGTTTCACCTGTATTACCTCCTTCCTATTATTTTGAAGCAAATCATCCTAAGATTTTATCCATAAATAATGTAGCAAAAATCTTAAATAACCTGTCCTCCACCACAGAAATGCAAATAATTTTCTTGAACCTGTTTTGTTCAAGGTACATATTGTAGGGATTATAAAAATGGGAGAGAAATGGACGTTCATCTAAAATTTACAATAAAATAGAAATGAAGAAGGTAAAACAAGTATTCACTAAGTTGGTCTTCTCTGTTGATAACAAATGCTAATGGAGTAAAAAGCTCTATTTTTAATGCTTCGTAAGATTTGCATTTTATGTTTCTAACGATGTTAGCTCATATGAATTCTGAAGAAGACTTAATTTTCTAATTCTGTGATGACAAATAGAGGACTGAGAAACTGTTAAATATTTTAAATCTTATTTGTTAACATAAATAATTTCTTGATAACAATTTTCTTCATTCAATGTATGATTTTTTTAAAATTTTTTTTTTCTATTACCACAGTGACCTCCTGTGGGGGAAACATTTATGTCACACTTTTTTTTTTCCAAAGTGTAATTCCATTTCATTTTCCACTTTTAGTATTTTTCAAATTATAAACCATGTAGTCTGCCATTGTATCCACACATCTTCATTTTTGAGCCTAGAAGGTAACCAGAAGTTTTCGCAGGCCAGAAAGGGTTACTTCCAGATTTGTTGTTGTTGTTACACTTATAACAAGATTATTGCTGGATATAAATTGCATTCTCCCCCCTCAAACCACCCAATTGAATTTATCCACAATATTTTTTTTTAATGAAAACTACTGTAGAGATAAAGTCCAGCAAACTCATCTGCAGTACAGGTACACACTGTACACTCTAGACAAGGATAATTCTGCGGAGTGCTATAATTCCGCTTCTCTCTACATGTATCTACATGCAAAGTATTTAAAATCGATACACAATGTTTAAATGAGTAAGGAGACTTCATGAGCATTGTTCCTTTGTAAGCAGACTTCATGAGCATTGTTCCTTTTATTGTTACCTGGTACTTACTACTCTGAAAACATTTTTTTAAAAATTGCTATTAATTAAAGCATTTTCAGACTGTGGTGGTTCCTTTAGTTTTCCCAGATGAGAGAACTTTAGTTCTCTCTGGGTGAAACAATGAAGAGAATTCCTTATCTCACACTTTTTTAATTAAATCACTGTTCAAACAGGTTTCAGACTGAGATTCAAACAGTGAATAAACAGTTCCCAAGTGAGCCATTCAAGTTCTTGGAGCCAACATTAAGACTGGAATGAGGCACTGGCTATGCTTAGGGAAGCTGGCATTGAAATGGGAGATGAAGAAGATCTGAGGTTTGTCTTTGTGCTTTTTTAAATGTATGTAATTAGGTTTGAGATGTGAAAGAATGGATTATGTTAGTAAATGGCGAGTTTTATCAACTTTTGGATATAGTCTGGTGGGTTTCTTCATTTGATATTTGATTTGAAATAAAATATATAGAGTTTGCCTAAACTTCAATGATTTGTTGTTGTTGTTGTTATGTGCCGCCGAGTCGTTTCCGACTCATAGCGACCCTATGCACAACAGCCCTAAACCCTGCTCTGTCCTGCGCCAACCGCACCGCCTCTGACACACCCATCCCGATTACCCCAGTCACTGAATCAATCCACCTCATAGAGGGTCTTCCCCTCCTGCGCTGTCCCTCCACCCTCCCAAGCATGATGTCCCTCTCCAAGGACCCGTCCCTCCTGGCAACATGTCCAAAGTATGTCAGACGAAGCCCCAGAATCCTTGCCTCCAAGGAGTAGCTTGGTTTAATCCTCTCCAAGATGAATCTGTTTGTTTTCCTGGCAGTCCATGGTACATTCAGTACCCTTCTCCAGCACCACAGCTCAAAAGCATCCACTCTCCTTCTGTCCTCCCTAGTCATTGTCCAACTCTCTGATGCATAACAAGCAATTGCAAATACCATGACCTGTATCAGGCGCACCTTAGTCTCCAGAGAGACACTGTTGCTCCTGAGTACCTTTGAGAGGTCCCTAACAGCAGACTTTCCCATCGCGATATGCTTTTTGATTTCCTGACTGCTGGTACCAAGAGTGTTGACTGTGGAGCCGAGCAAACTGAAACTGTGAACACTCTCAATCTCTTCGTCATCCATCCTGACGCTGCCAATTGGTCCAATGGCGAGAATCTTTGTCTTCTTGACATTGAGCCTTAGTCCATACTGAAGGCTGCATTCCTTGACCCTTCGCAGCAAGTACATGAGGTCCTCCTCAGTTTCAGCAAGTAGGGTTGTGTCATCTGCATAACGGAGATTGTTAATAGATCTTCCACCAATCCTGATGCCACAATTCTCCTCATAGAGCCCAGCCTCTCGGATAATCTGCTCTGCGTATGTGTTGAAAAGGTATGGAGACAGGATGCATCCCTGGCGTACACCCTTCCCAATTTTGAACCATGCAGTGTTACCCTGCTCTGTTCTGACTATTTCCTCTTGGTCCAAGTATAGGTTTCGTATTAGCACAATTAAATGTTCTGGGATTCCCATTCTTCTCAGAGTCAGCCACAGTTTGTTGTGATCCACACGGTCAAATGCCTTTGCATAATCAATGAAACACAGATAGACATTCTTCTGGTATTCTCTGCTTTCAGCCAAGATCCATCTAACATCAGCAACAATATCCCTAGTACCACGACCCCTTCTAAACCCAGCCTGGACTTCCGGCAGTTCTCTGCTGATGTGCTGTTTTAATCGTTTTTGGATGATCTTCAGTAGAATCTTGCTTGCATGTGAAATCAGTGACACTGTTCAGTAGTTTCCACACTCAGTTGGGTCACCTTTCTTTGGAATGGGAACAAATATAGATCTCTTCCAGTCAGTTGGCCAAGTGGTTGTTCTCCAGATTTCTTGGCACAACTTGGTGAGCACGTCCAGGGCAGCATCTGTTATCTGTAATACTTCAGTTGGTATACCATCTATTCCTGGGGCCTTATTTTTTGCTATTTCCTTCAAAGCAGCTTGAACTTCTTCCTTCATCACCATAGGCTCCTGCTCATATGTTATTTCTTTAAATTCCTCTGTATCTGCCAATTCCTTTCTAGATTTAGTTTGTAAATATTCTTTTTCTTTTTTCTTCTTCTATTTAGACATTTATAAAGATTCTCTTGGCTTGTGATTTTACTCTCTGTTGCCATTTTTTCCCAAATGAGTAGTATAAGAGAGGACAATAGTCTAAATCCTAATCTAAGATTAGTACATAAAACTGTTAAGATCTCCAAAAGCTTTAAAACTCAACAATTCTTTATTTGATATACAGTGATACATTATCCAAATAAATTTTTTCAGGAGTCCTTAATATATATGGACATAGGAGCAAAAATACATTGTTGGCATTTTTAAAGTTTTCTTTAAAATACTTCAAAGATCTTAACTTTCATTACTTTGTTTCTATGCATTTAACAGAAGAACAATATGATTTAAGTAGTCTCTATATTGATAGGTGTGGATACTTTATAAGACAAGCTGAATGCTAAAATTACTTTTAAGGTGGGCTACAATTTCTTTAGTACTTGAAAATTGTTCTTAAATAGGGAGACTGTAGAAAATTTGTTTCTATAAGCATTCTTATATTTAACAGAGTTGAAGATACTGGTTTTTATTTTATAAACCCTCCACAACAAATAACAAAACTAGGGAAAATAATTTTTCAGCGCAACCATTTAATGGTAAAGCTAGTCCATGTTAAGACAACGTAAACTTTTATTATATATAATTGGAAGAAATTACTTTTATCTCTGAAATTTCCCAATGACTTAGAAAGTTTCATTTATGGTTTCTAATGAATTGATACTGAGCAGCACCTACTAAACGGTGTCCACCGTACAAGGCACCTTTTAGGTACTTTTCAATAATACTTGTCATTTTAAAAGGGAGAGCGAGAGATAGCCAAGTGTTTGGGCTAATTTTTTTATTTTTTTAAAACTTAAGATACAGGTAAATGTAAAATTCTTTTCAGTTATTTTTGATCTTCAGACACCTGATTTTGTATTTCTTTTCCAGCACACCAAATGAAAAGCTGTTGGGTCGTTTGGTAAAGGAAAAGGTAGGAATCTTATCCACGCTGGATTTCTTTTTCTGAATCTGAGCTGTAGCTTAATACTAAAGCGTGGATGCAGAGCAAAAGACTTTTTCTCATATGGTATGGTTCCAGAATAAATAAAAGCCAAGAGAGGATTTTCTTTTTTCCCCCCTTTAAAATTAAAAAAGTTTCTTAGAAGATTGAAAGCTGTTCAGACAGACAGGCCTTCTCGAACCTTTATAGGCACACCTCAGATACATAGCAGGTTCAGTTGGAGACCACCATAATAAAGCTGATATTGTATAAAAATTTACATGAATATTTTAGTTTCTTAGTACCTGTAAAGGTTATATTTACACTGTACTATTGTCTATTAAAGATCACTAGTGGTGGTATTTACCTTCCAGTTAGAACTTGCTCTATAGCTCACCATCCAGCAGGTTTTCAGAGGAGAGAAATTCCCCATCTTTCTCCAGTGGAGCAGCTAGTGGATCGGTTTACATGTTTACCCTGCTAACTGAAAGACCTACTGTTCAAATCCGCCAGAAATTGCTTGGGAGAAAAATGTAGCTGTCTACTCAAATCAAGATTTATAGCCTCAGAAACTCAACAGAGCATCTCCATGAACTGGTAACTATTCAGTGGCAGTGGAATTGGTTTTTTTAGTAGTCTGTTAAGTATGCACTAGCCTTATGAAGACATTTAATATTTTAATTTTCAGAATTATCAAAATATTACTAAGATAGGGAGTTCTGGTGACCTAGTAGCAAGAAGCTACACTGCAGTCCCAGAAATACACAGTTCGAATCCACCAGATGCTCTGCTGGAGACAGAGGGGCAATCTCCTCCTGTACCAGTCAGATCCATTTAGACGATACACATAAAAAAAAAATTATTAAAAAATGAAAAAAAAAATATGATTAAGACACAAAGTGAGCAAATGCTGTTGGAGACGTGACACTGATGGGTTTGTTCCATACAGGAGTGCCACAAACTTTCAGTATGAAGTGGGGAGAAGATCTAATATCTTCACAATGCAGTAAAGCTAAAAGTACTTTAAAATGAGGTGTGCATGTATTGAGTTGTACAGAGATGTCTCAAATGTGATGCTTACCTCAGATTAGTTAGTACCTGAGAATGATTGGAAACTGTTTAGAAACTGTCTCTCCCAAGTACTGCAAGGATGAGAGGAATGCACTTCCTTTTTTCCTCATAGAACTGGTTTCACAACTTGACTTCTAAGAAAAAAAAGCAAAGCACTTTTTATTTTAGAGTTTACACAAAGGTAAACAGTTCTTGAGCTCCTCCTGCTGGTTGCACTCAAAACTGTTAAACTGACTGGAAACTCATTCTTAATATATAGTCAGTACTGTAAAGTATAGCTTCAGCAGGACCGTTTCCAGCTCCAGCTTGTCATTTAGTAAAAATTTTAGGAAATAAATTTAGTAAAAAAATTTTAGTAAAAAACAGTTGAAATACTATTGATTTCTTTTTCATTAATTCTCGATTGCATAGTATTCTTCCTTACCAAAAATCTTGGAATTTTATACTATTGTTCTTTATTTCTTCATATAACAGTTTGCCTTGGGAAAAAAATCAAAACAAACTTTAAAGAAAAGGGAAAATATGGCACACATTTGTTGATGAATAATGTGAAAGATAACATTTCTTCCCAAATTCATTTATATACTTTCCGTTAAATCCAGGAGATGTGAGATAAATGAATAAAACTTGGAAATGTCATCATAAAGATTAAATGAGCCAAAATAACGAAGGTGAAAAAAGTAAAATCAGAGATGCTTATGGTGGTGGAGAAATTGAAAAATATAACATTAAAAAAAAAATAACAAAAATAAGCCTTTGTATGGATGATTGAATACGAAATAGCTTCTAAAGAATAGATTTCATGACATCATGGCAAAATAGGATATACATTCTACATGAGAAAGCAAGCTAGTCGGTTTTATATACTGTGTGATCACAGTAATTTTGAAAAATAATTTACATATTTAAAACAAAATTAATTACCAAAATATTAAACCCTCTTCTTGGTTGTATTAACCTCTCTTAATTGCTTTTTTTCCATAGTATGATACAGATTTTTATATTCTTGATAAATACCCGTTGGCTGTACGACCTTTCTATACCATGCCTGACGCAAGAAATCCTGTAAGTAATTTGCTTTCAAATAACCTATTTTTGGGAAAGTTGTATATAATGATTTTCATTAATAATTTAATTTTAGGGAGCTCTGGTGGCCTAGTGGCAAGGAGCTGCAACTACAATCCCAGAGGCACACAGTTTGAATCCACCAGATGCTCTGCTGGGGAAGGAGGGACAATCTCCTCCTGTACCAGTCAGATCTGATTTGAAAAATAATAAAATAAAAATTAAAAAAAAAATTAGTTTTAATAGATATATTATTACAGATATTTCTAATTTCTGCCAGTACAGATCAAAATGTTGTGAAATTCAAATACTCTAGCAGATTTGTTCTGAAAACCTGTATTATAAATTATTTTCATAATATTTCATATTTCAAATAATGCTACTTGGTTTGCAAATTTTATTAGCAAGTCATTTTTTCATTGACCTTAACCTGGAAATTTGCATTCTGTCATGGGTGTTAATAATCTAAATGCCATCATGTTAGTTTCACTGTTTTCCATTGCACTGGTTCCCACACTTGTTAGGTGCCATCCAGTTAACTCCAACCCTTAATGATCTTCCATACAACAGATCGAAACATTGCCAGTCCTCACAACCTCCACTGTGTTTAAACCCACGGTTGTCACTATGTCCGTCCACCAGTGCCTAATAGATTGATTAGAAATTGTAATTATGTTGATCAGTGGTAATTAGTGTAAAACAATGTCTCTTATGAATGATTGTACCAGTATGATTTGTAAACTGTCACTCAGATTTTAAAGGGAAAAAAAACACTGTGCTTAAGTCCAGTGCCCTTTAGTCTTTAAACTGACATCTCTGCCCTTTGACTTCTTGACTACTGCTACTGTGAGACTCCACATACATTGAAATCATTGGCAACATCATTGAGACTCCACATACATTTAAATTACCAAGAGATGTTAGGATTTTTAAAATGAGAAAGACCTTTGAAGTTTAAGATATAAGTAAAGTCAACTGAAAATCAATTTATCCTAGTATTCTTGACTACTGCTACTGTGAGACTCCACATACATTGAAATCATTGGCAACATCATTCTTTTTTCCATCAGTCACAATGCCGCCTCTTGATTCAGTTGTGAGAATTTTTATTTGCTTGATATTGAGGTATAATCCATATTAAAGGCTGTAGTTCTTTGATCAGTAAGTCCTTCAAATCATCTTCACTTTCAGTAAAGTGTGTCATCTGTAGATTGTTGGTGATACTTCTCCAGTTTTCATGGCACATTCTGTAGCTTCATATAACCTAACTTCTCCATTAATAGACTCAGTATATATATTGAGTAGGTTTGGTGGACAAACAAGTCTACTGTTCATCTGTCATTTCACTATACTTTGGTAGCTTGTGTTGCTGAGACGCTAAAAAGCTACAACACTGGTAGTTCAAATGTTAGCAGGGTCACCCATTGTAGACAGGTTTCAGGGCAGCTTCCAGACTGAAAAGCAGGACTGGCCATCCACTTCTTAAATAATGGGGCCTCAGAAACCTTGCAGAAAGCTGCAGAATATCCTTTGATATAGTGTAACCCCTCGTGTTGGAAGGCACTCAAAATAAAACTACTCAGAGTCTGCCTCAGTGACATGAATGGAGTAAAGCAGTGAGGGACTTTTATTTGCTGGTGTCGCAAGACTCAAAATGAGAAAAAACCACTTAGAGATCCATTAATAATTAGAACATGGACTATACAGAGCATGAATCTAGGAGAATTGGAAGTTACAAAGAATGAAACCGAACACATAAAGATTGGTATAATAATATCATTAGTGAGCTGAAATGGACTGCTATTGGTAATTTTGAATCAAGACAGTTATATGCCTTGCCACAGATGACAAATTGAGAAAGAATTCATCATCAAAAAGAGCATGTTAAGATCTTGCCTGGGTTCCACTTCCAATCTAGGGTGAAACTTGAGAACTTGTATTTCTAGTAAGTTGCCAGATGATGCTCTGACTGCTGGTCCAAGAATCACCCTATGAGGAGCACTGATTATTGAAAAGGAGTTCTGGTGGTGTGTTCCCTAGTGAGCTGCATTGCTGACTCACAGACCGAGCATGTCCAATAGTTCAAATCCACCAGCCACTGCATAGGAGAAAGATGCACATTCCCCTGGTGTTCTTTTGGCAGTCCATTAGATAATCCATGCTCTTCCCCCACACCAGAACTCAAATGCATCAGTTCTTCCTCATCATTGTTAGTCATTGTCCAGTTCTCAGCAACAGAGCAAGTGATTAAAAAGACCATGGCATGGATCAGACACATTTTAGTCCTAAAACTAACATCATTGCTCCTCAATAATTTGACAAAACCGCTTCTATTCAATATTTAATACTAGGATAAATTGATTTTCAGTTGACTTTACTTATATCTTAAACTTCAAAGGTCTTTCTCATTTTAAAAATCCTAACATCTCTTGGTAATTTAAAATTCAAAAAATGCCCCCAAATAATAATCACATTAAAAGCCCTTCAGATGATACGATGAAATCGGGTTTAGTACTACTTAGAAATTAGATATGGTGCTTTCTTTTTTTTTTTAATTGGTCTGCATACAGAATTTGTATACATTGTGTTTCACACATTCTTTGGATCACATTGTCTTTCATACAGCCATTCCCATACATTGTGTTGGGGTTTTTTTTACTTTTTTATTTTTTTCATACATTGTGTTTTATGAACTTAATCCCCATTATGCCCACCATTATATCATCTTTGCAAGTCCCATCAGATCTTGCATATTTCCTTTACTCCTCTTCCCTCCACCAAATTGTGTTACGCTGTGACCCTGTGGTTTCCCACCTGCCCATCCTAAGCCCTCTGCTCCAACCCCTCCCCCCCAGGATCCCCATAAACATTTACTAGTAATCTTTCTGTTTTTACAATAAAGGAAGGTCTTAGGCAGTATTTGTCTTTATGAAGCTCTCCCAAGTTATGTAATAATTTTCAAAATCATTGTTCCTGAGTACTAAGTAATATTCCATCATGTGAATGTACCACAATTTTTTAATCCATTCGATTGTGGTTGGATATTTGGGCTGTTTCCATGTTCTTGAGATGGTGACTAACACTGTTGGGAACATTGGTGTATGTAACTTTTTTGTGTCTCAGTTGGTGTATAAATCTCTGTGTCTCAGTTCTTATTTCTCAGGGTATATTCCAACAATGGAATAGCTGGGTCATACGAACTTTCTATGTTCAGCTTTCCGTGTCTTTTGCCCTTTTTTGTAATTGGGTTATCAGTCTTTTTCTTGTAGAAGCGCTGCAGAATTTTGTAAACGTTTGTTGAGACCCTTGTCTGAAATGGTATCACCAGATGTCTTTCCAGGTCCCCACTGGATTTTTCCCATTTTTTTTTACCCTCTCCCTCATCCCATGAAATTGTGTGACCCTGTCATTCCCCCACTTACCCATTTTCACCCCTCTGCTCCTACCATTTCCACCTTGGGCCTCTATGCATGTTTTACTAGTTATCCTTCTATTTTTACAATAATGGTCTTGTGCAGTATTTGTCCTTTTGAGATTGAGTAGTTCATGCAGCATAATGTTCTTTACTCTCTCCCAGGTTATATAACAGTTTTCAAAGTCTTTGCTTCTGAGTTCTACATAATATTCTATTATGTGAATGTACCACAATTTCTCTATCCATTTGATGTAGTTGGACATTTGGGCTGTTTCCACGTTCTTGTGATGGTAAATAATGATGTTATAAACATTGGTATACAAATGTCTCAGTTCTGATTTCCTCAGGGTATATTCCTAGCAGTGGAATAGCTGGGTCATATGAACTTTTCTATGTTCAGCTTTTTGAGGAAACGTCAAACTGCCTTCCAGAGTAGTTGTACCATTTTACAGTATGAGATCTTTTCACATCTTCAACATTTATTGCTTGCTCTTCTGTTGAACTTTGCCACTGCTACTGGGGTGAGATGTTATCACATTGTAGTTTTTATTTGTACCTCTCTTATTGCAAGATTTTGAGCATTTCGTCATGTATGTGTCTGTTGGCCATATGAATGTCTTCCTCTGTGAAAAGTCTTTCCATGTCTTTTGCCCTTTTTTGTAATTGGGTTATCAGTCTTTTTCTTGTAGAAGCACTGCAGAATTTTGTAAACTTTTGTTATGAGACCCTTGTCTGAAATGGTATCATCAAATGTTTTTTCCCAATTGGTTAGTTTTCTTTTTACTCTGTTGTGAAAAGTTTTGATGTGCACAGGACCTTTAGAAGGCCCTGTTCATCAATGTAATCCCATCCTGGTTGTGCATTTCTGGCTGTATTTGTCTGCTGCTTTATACCATGGGCTAGGCCTTCTAAGCTTGGTCTTACTTTGTGTCTTAGGATCTCTACGATTTGGGGCTTTATCCCTAGGTCTCTCATCCACCTTAAGTTGATTTTTGTGTGTGGTGTAAGGTATGTATCCTCCTTCAGCTTTCTGCAGATAATTGTCCAGTTTTGCCAGCACCATTTGTTGAAGAGGTTGTCATATATCAGTTAACCAAAGATAGATGGGTTAATATTTGGGTTCTCGATTCTATTCTATTGATCTTTGTGCCTTTCATTGTATCTGGAACCATGCAGTTTTGGTTATGACAGCTGTATTGCTGTGGGGTACAGGAAAGGGAAGCATGAAATCTGATAGAGGCCAGTGAGTAGTTAGGCTCTACTCCACAGTAGTTTAGTCCTACTTTATAGAAGCAAATTCAATTCACTTGGACAGCATACATCATTCATTGTAGGAGAAAATGGATTTGCTCATTGTTCAAAAGAATTTTTTTTCACCAGTTGTATATAACCTGGGATGATAGCATATGAAATGTGGTGGTTTTGTTTGTTTTTCCTACAGAAACAATCCAACTCTTATGACATGTTCATGAGAGGGGAAGAAATATTGTCAGGAGCTCAAAGAATTCATGATCCTCAGCTGCTAACGGAGCGAGCCTTACATCATGGAATTGGTAAATTGCTTAAATATATTTAACAATGTCTGTTCTGAAAATTGTACCTTTTCTTTTTCCCTACAATTCTTAAAACTTTTAAGGGCTCTCTGGTGGCCTAGTGGCAAAAAGCTGCACTGCAATCCCAGAGGTACGGGGTTCGAATCCACCAGATGCTCTCCTGGAGAAGGAGGGGCAATCTCCTCCTGTACCAGTCAGATCTAATTTGACAGTACACAAACAAAAAATAATAAAATTTAAAAAAAAAAATCTAAATAAAAAAAGCTTTTAATAGCTAACTAAGATGACAATTTTGTGCTTTTTTAAATTGGTAAAATCACAACAAACCATCACCAGTTCCATAATTTTCACATGTGACATGCTTTTTTTTTTTTTAATTTGTTTTAGATTTGGAGAAAATCAAGGCTTACATTGATTCTTTCCGTTTTGGAGCACCACCTCATGCTGGTGGAGGAATTGGTAATATTCTTTTCCTATTATACTGGTTTCTAACCTAAATTTCTTTGATAAAGTGATCATCAGTTCCAGCTAAATGTTTTCAGCATTAATTTTCTAAAGTAAATTTGCCATATTGTACTTGCTAAAAGACAAGAAGGCTTCATATAATATACATTTAAACTAATAGTAATATACACTTGAACAAAAAGAATATTTTTGCATTGAAATAACGAATGAAAATTTTATTCACAAGGAACAAAGGAAAAAGCTACCTTACGTGTTCTAAAATATATATTATAAAAAAAAATCAAGTCATTCATTTTCTTGTAAGTGTTTAAAAGCAAAAAGTCTTATGAATTACTTGTTTGCTTTCTGCATATGTGCACTCATTCATATTAGAGCTTTAATTTGGGCCAATATACTCTTGGTTTTTTGTCAAAATATAGTATTTGATTGTCATTTAGGACTTCCTTTAACTCTAGAGTGTATGTAATTTAAAATGAGTAAATGTTTAACCACCTCAACTCTTGAATGTTCATAGCAAAGACTAAGAATTCTGGATTTATGGGCTTTTTATTTGGGGTAAATGACATGGTAATGGTCATTTCACTATGGTGATGGTGGTGGTGGTAGTGGTGGTGGTTGAGTGCCATTAAGTCTGCTGAGGATCATAGAAGCTCTGTGAATACTGGTTAGGTTCTGTGAAACCCCCTCAAATACTGAACTAGGGCCCTATTCAGCATCAGCTGGAAATTTTTTGCCTTTCTGCACTGGTGCATGTTTACAGCTGACCATAACCAATAGTGTGTTCAGTTTGCAAGGACACTATTTACAGCTAATATGGATTAACTCTTAATGAATCTACAGAATTCCTCATTAAAAAATTCTAAAGAGTATACCTTTTTCTCCCTTCTAGAAACCATTGTCTCTTGTATACTTTTGCAATACTAATCTTTGAACATGCAAAATAATTTTTTTCACAAAGTATAACATACTAACTTGCATTTTTCACTTAATCTTTTTTCATTGCCACATTAGAACACATTGAAAGGATATGCCTTCATCTTGATAGTCAGCTTTGGACATATATTGATACCAACCTTTTATTATCATAAATAATGCTATGTTTAATCTAAATTATTAATGAGAAATTTAGAGCTGTTTTATCATGTTCAGTAATAGTAATTTTGCATATGTTTTTTGTCAATTTTTGTGGCCAGCGGTGTAAATTTTAAACTCAAGATTAACTAAGGAAGGTTGTATGGTTGTAACTGAGTTTTATTTTGTTTTAGCCAAAAAGACACTTCAGAATACTCTCTGCCTTTTGATAAGTAAGGTATTGGGAAGATAATGATGTGATTTTTTAAAAAAATGTAATCTTAAATTACATTACCATAGTTATTATTGTTGTTTTGTGCCATCAAGTCAGAGCCCTCGCATAGCTAGCCCTCTATTAGCTTTTCAGAGGCTGTAAATCCCATGGAAGGAGATAACCATGTTTCCCAAGATGCCGTCTGATAGGTTCAAGCCACTAGAGGTGCCTTTGAATCAGTGGTACATCTCCCTGCAACTACGCCACCTGAGCTCCCACCATATTACTTGCCAATAAAATTACAATAAATAACCTGAGAGAGAGAGAGATGTATATGTATATATGTGTATATATATATTTTTGATGCTTATTTTATACTCTTGGTCTGAATTAATAAGTAGAATATGGTATCATTTGGAAGCATAGTTTATAGTTTGTTTTCCTTTTAATAGTTAAATCATAAACTTTCTCTGTAATTTGTATATTTATATTTATATATATGATTTGTAGTTCACATTTCACAAAATCCATACCATTGAAAGATGTGTCATTTAGGCCTTCCCACGTACTAATTAATCTCTGATACTGAACTGATAGCCAAAACATTTGATTTTTTAAGTGAATTCAAAATAATACAAGTTGCAGTAAGGAATTCATGATTCTTTTCTTCTCCCAGGCTTAGAACGAGTGACTATGCTGTTTTTGGGATTACACAATGTTCGTCAAACATCGATGTTCCCCCGGGATCCTAAACGACTCACTCCTTAAAGAAAGCTGTGCTTTCACCCTCCCAGTAACCTGCTGCATTCAGGCTCTACTGTAGGCACTAAAAATATGGAATAGAATGAATGTCTTATCTAAAGTGCCACAATCCTTTTCTTATTAATTCAGCATAGGTTAATTTAAAAAAGAAGATTTTTATAACTTTGGATATGCTTCAGTAGGAAATTCTTGAACATTTTAATGAGAAATTCATATGGTTATGTTGAAAATTCATGTTCTATTACCATAGTAAATGTTAATAACAGTTTTAAACAGTTAAGATTATGGAATTTTTTAAATTTTCTATGTTAACAATGGCTCTAAAATTGAAGTCCAAAATTTTCAGTATTTGAACTTTTCTTTAAATTGTGACATTGAAATAAGGACGTTGGAGAAGTGGCTGTTTCTGAATGTATAAGTTGGTTATCATGAAATATTAAACAGAAAGTCTCCATTCTTAGAAATTATGTGCTGAAACCACATAAAGCAGGTGAAATACTGGTCAGAAACTATTCAGTATCATATTGTATTGAGATATTATAGACTAAACTTGAGTTTCAATAAAATTTAAAGCTAATGATATTTTGTCATTGTATTATGGTAATCTTTTTTTTTTTTAACTACTTTCTGGATTTACAATTTTAGGACCAAAAAAATAGCTTGTTGGCGGGGGGAAGTCAAAAAGGTAAGATGTTATCCCTAGAGTAGAGCATAGACATTGTGCCAATTATTTTTGAAAGCCGAAACACTTTTTTTCTCCCCTCACAATTATGAGTTCTATGAAAGTAAAGTATCAATTTTTACAATTTCTTTAACGTCCTACCAGAGTGTCTTAGACACTCCAAAAATGTTACATTAATTTATACCACACCAGCAGTAAAATGGACTGCTACCCTGGAAATAATTACTGTATGAATCCAGTGTGTTTTACTCTTTTCCATATTTCTTTGACAGTGAATAAGGTTGACAGAAAAAGAATTGATGTTTTGAGTTGTAGTGTTGGAGAAGAATACTGAATATCGCATGCAATACAAAAAGAATGAACAGATTTGTCCTGGGAATAGTGCAGCGAGAGCGCTCCTTGGAGGCAAGGACGGCAAAGCTTCATCTCACATATTCTGGGCATGTTGCTGGGAGAGGCTGTTTTCCTAGAAAGGGATATCATGCTTGGAAAGATGGTGGTGGTGGTGGTTGTTAGATGCTGTCGAGTTGCTTGCGACTCATATCGACCCTATGTACAACAACCCTAAACTCCGCTCTGTCCTGTGCCAGTCACACTGCCTCTGAAACACCCATCCCAATTAACCCAGTCACTGAATCAGTCCACCTCATAGAGGGCCTCCCCCTCCTGCGCTGTCTGTCCACCCTCCCAAGCATGATGTCCTTCTCCAAGGACCAGTCTGTCCTTACAACATTTCCAAAGTATGTTAGACGGAGCCTCAGAATTCTTGCCTCCAAGGAACCACCCAGTTTAACCCTTTCCAGGATGAATCTGTTTGTTTTCCTACCAGTCCTTAGTACCCTCAGTACTCTTCTCCAGCGCCACAGCTCAAAGGCATCAATTCTCCTTCTATCCTCGCTGGTCATTGTCCAACTCTATGATGCATAACAAGTGATTGCAAAGACCATGGCCTGTATCAGACACACCTTAGTCTCCAGAGAGACACCATTGCTCTTCAGTACTTTGGAGAGGTCCCTAACAGCAGACTTTCCCATCACAATACGTCTTTTAATTTCGTGGCTGCTGGTGCCAAGAGTGTTGACTGTGGAGCCAAGCAAACTAAAGCTGTGTACAATCTCAATCTCTTCACCATCTATCCTGATGCTGCCAATTGGTCCAGTGGTGAGAATCTTTGTCTTCTTGATATTGAGCCTCAATCCATATTGGAGGCTGCAGTCCTTGACCCTCTGCAGCAAGCGCTTCAGGTCCTCCTCAGTTTCAGCAAGCAGGGGGGTTGTGACATCTGCATAACGCAGACTGTTGATAGATCTTCCACCAATCTTGACCCCACATTCCTCCTCAAAGAGCCCAGCCTCCCGGATAATCTGTTCTGCACACAGGTTGAAAAGGTATGGAGATAGGAAGCATCCCTGGCATACACCCTTCCCAATTTTGAACCATGCAGTTTTGAACCTTGCTCTGTTCTGACAACTGCCTCCTGATCCAAGTATAGGTTTCGCATTAGCACGATCAAGTGTTCTGGGATTCCCATTCTTCTTAGAGTCAGCCACAGTTTGTTATGAACCTCACAGTCAAACGCCTTTGCGTAGTCAATGAAACACAGACATTCCTCTGGTATTCTCTGCTTTCAGCTAAGATCCATCTAACATCAGCTACAATATCCCTAGTACCACGACTTCTTCTAAACCTAGCCTGGACTTCTGGCAGTTCTCTGTTGATGTGCTCTTCCAGTCGTTTTTGGATAATCTTCAGTAGAATCTTGCTTCATGTAAAATCAATGAGATTGTTCTATAGTTTCCACACTCTGTTGGGTCACCTTTCTTTGGGATGGGAGCAAATATTGATCTCTTTCAGTCAGAGAGATGGCAATAAAGAAGGAAACCCTCCACCCTTCACCAGATCAATTGACACAGTGACTGCTGCAATGGCCTGAAGTGTGTTAGATCCTCAGGATGGCACAAGATAGGACAGGGTTCAGATCTGTTTATAGGATGACTATGAGTCGTACTCAACTTGATAGCATATAATACTCCACTACCACCCTTCTTTTTCTATATTGTGTAACGTTCAGGCTCCAAAATAATATTAATAATGACTCGGGCTGTTCTCAAATTCATGGAACTACAACTTCTTTCAAAATAAATAGTTCTAAAATCTTAGAATGACAATTTCTTTCATTATTTTTACTGTATTTCAAACATGCCAACAAAAGTGGACCATGATAAAATGAGGACCCCAGTTCTCAACACCCAGCTTTGTCAAATTATAGCATTATATCTTACTTGCTTTGAATATTCCAGGAGAAAGGAATTGTGGGTACAGTTGAAGCTGCCTTTTGGTCCACCCTGAGCTCACTCATTCTTATTCTCCCTGTGAGTACTTACTATATGATCCAGTGAGGATTTTTTTTCTAATTTAAGTGTTTGTTCCAGTAAACATTATCTAGTGTTGTTTTGCAGATTTATATTAGTTTTTTCTTGGTATTTGATTGGAGTTATAGAATGATTTAGAGATAATTAGAATGTACTTCTTTTTAGTCTTCCAGCAAGTAAACGTGGTATATCTCTCCTCTTACTGAAATTCTTTAATATCCTCCAAACTTATTTTTCAATAATAATAAATACGCTAAAATAAATAAATAAATAAGCAAGCAAGAATATCTTTGCCTTGGAATTGAAAACGTTGTAATAGTTGTTGTTATGTGCCGTCGAGTTGCTTGTGACTCATAGTGACCCTAAAACCTTGCTCTATCCTGTGCCAAACTTATTGTCTCTGACACCCTTACCCCCATTATCCCAGTCACTGAATCAGTCCATCGCATTGAAGGTCTTCCTCTTTGTGCTTTCCCTCCACCCTCCAAAGCATGATGTCCATCTCCAAGTACAGTCCCTCCTTGCTGTCCAAAGTATGTCAGAAGAAGCTTCAGAATCCTTGCTTTGAAGGAACAGCCTGATCCTACCCTCTCTAGGACTAGCCTGTTTGTTCTGCTAGCAGTCCATGGTGTATATTCAGTATTCTCCAACACCACAGCTCAAAGGCATCAATTCTTCTATCATTCCCATTGTTCAGCTTTCTGATACATATCAAGTGATTGCAAAGACCATGACCTGAATCAGGCTCACCTTAGTCTCCACACTGACATTGTTGCTCTTCAGTACTATGGAAGCAGACTTTCCCAATGCAATTCACCTTTTAAGTTCCTGGCTGCAGGTACTAAGAGTGTTGATTGTGGAGCCAAGCAAATGAAAGCTGTTAACAATCTCAGTCTCTTCACCTTCTGTCAATGCTGCTGCCATTCAGCCCAGTGGTGAGAATCTTTGTTCTCTAGATGTTGAGCTTCAATCCGTTTTGAAGACTGTGGTCCTTAACCATCTGCAGCAACTGTTTCAGGTCCTCCTCGGTTTCAGCAAGAAGGGTTGTGTCATCTGCATAACACAGATTGTTGATGCCTCTTCCTCCAAACCTGATGCCACATTTCTCCTCATAGAGCCCAGCCTCCCGGATAATCTGTTCTGTAGATAGATCAAAAAGATATGAATATAGGACACATCCCTGGCGTATACTCTTCCCAGTTTAAAACCATGTGGTGTTGCCTTGCTCTGTTCTGATGACTACCTCCTTCCTGGTCCAAATATAGGTTTCGCATAAGCAAAATCAACTGTTCTGGGATTCCCGTTCTTTTCAGAGGTAGCCACAGTTTATTGTGATCATCAAATGCCTTTGCATAGTCAGTGAAACACAGATAGACATTACTTTCAGCCAAGATCCATCTAACATTAGTGAGATTATTTTTTTCCATTATGCTTTTAATTTCTACACTGGAGTATAGAAATAATACTGGTTTTTCTCTTGCCTATTTCTTTTATGCAGCAGCATTCTGGATCTCCCTTTTCTCTATTTTGTATTGAGTCTCTTGTATTTTCTTTTTGAGTAAGGGTATCAAACCATTTTATTAAGACTGAGCGCCACCGGGGTGAGGACAATGGGGTCCCATGGTCACAGTCTGACCAGTATTGCCAGTCCCATGCAGCTGCCAAGAAAGTAAGATTCTTGTATTCTCAGTGTAGACAGTCATCAACTGCCAAGAACTAGAGAGCAGTACCAAAAAGTATGAATTTTGTCAGCCAATTAGGAGTTACAAATCAAAACCACAATGAGAGATCCTTCCTCTCCTCATTGCAACATCAGTCAGTCATCTCAAAATGTCAAAACTTAGGGGGTTCTGATGGCCTAGTGACGAGAAGCTGTGCTGTAATCCCGAAAGCGCACAGTTAGGATCCACCAGCCACATCGCTGGAGAAGAGGGATTGTCTCCTGTGCCATT